AGAAGTGATTTATAAAATCTGTCTCAAAAAAAAAAAAAGAAGTGATTTATAAAATCACTTGTCTTTTGTATTCTAAATTTAAACATGAATGTCTGCTCATTCTTTTACCCTGGTCTATAGCTGCCATTTATTGAGTGCTTACTGTGTTTCCGGCACTATACTAAGTTTCACATATATGTTTATCTTATTTAATACAACTGGATAATTATTTTATGGTTAGAAAATTGAGGCTTAGAAAGTTTAAGGAGAGTAAGTATCTCGGTATCATACAGCTAGTAAATAAGTTGCAGAACCAGAACTGGGACACTAGAGCATGTTCTCTTAACCTAAAACATATGCTCTCACCTAGCACAGTATGCTACTTAGTTTAACACTCCTCTCCAACAACCTATCCTGGTCAAGTTTCTTTCCTAACTCTTCAAGGTAATAGCCTCAGGCCATTTCCTTTCTTCTTCTGTTCCTTTTCAAGGCCTAGCTCAAGAAAAACTGAGTTCCCTTGGCATTCACAGTCTACGGTATATTTTCAAATTTTGAAAGATCAGCTTTGATATTTACAGATGAAATGATGTTATGTTTGGATGTGCTTCAAAATAACCCTGAGAGGGGGCAGGGGTTTCAGCTGAGGGAGAGGTTACAGATGACAGAGTTAGCCACATGTTGCTACTTGTCAAAGCTGGGTGATGGCTTCATGAAAGCTCGTTGTACTCTTCTAGTTTTGTATATGCTTGAAATCTTTCATGATAAAAAGTTCAGTTGAAAAAATCAGCTTATATATTTTGCTCTAGAAGATGGACAATTAGAGCTATGGTTTATCATAAAATATAAATACTGTTCCTCAGGTGAGCTTTTTATTATTATTATTATTATTATTTTTTGTAGAGTGGAGGATATGTTCTTGGCTTTAAAATAGATCCTGTGGAAAAACTACAAGAATCAGTTAAGGAAATCAATTCACTTCACAAAGTCTATTCTGCCAGTCCTATATTTGGAGTTGATTATGAGATGGAAGAAAAGGTAATTTGTTGAGTGTGTGAAATACAGTGTTTGCTGAATTGCTTTTATACAGTCTGTAAAATTCAGATGTTCAATTTAATTTTAAACTGTGTTAAAAATGATGAATATACAGACTCTGTTCAAGTGAGCATGGCTCCTGGACCATTGCTAATTTGTGCCTACCTCCTGTCTTCTAACTAGCTGCTTCATCATTCATTCCTGCCCTCCATACCTGCCCTTCTAGGTGAGCAGCCATCCAGATAAATCTCCATGTGCAAGGCTCTACTGATGTTGGCAGACTTGAGTCACTTATCCTGTCAGCTATATTTTTTTCTACTTCTGTCCCCCAGTAGCATGAACAGACTTTACAGGCCTCCTGAGTACCATCCTCTTCCCTGGTACCCCACAATATAGCAACTCCAGGTGTCTGCTATATTACTGTGGTCTGAGCCATGCTATTGATCAGTGTGTCTGCCATATAAGAAATATTTTGAATATCATGCCCACATGTCTGCTCTTTGCTTTCCTCATGATTTCTGGTTGCTGCACCATTCCCTGCTCTCTGAGTATATTATGTTTTGGCTTTACTTGTCTCTCCAACTGGGACACTTGTCATCTGGTCTATCACTGCTTTCCTCACCACTCACTCCATTAGAGGTATACTCACTGTCCATTCTGTCACTGGCACTCTTGCTGGAGGCTGTATCTCTGGTGCCTTGCTGTCTGCTCTGTCACTGGTACAGTCACTGTCCATTCTATCAAAGGTGCCCTTGCTATGGGTTCTATTGCCATTGCCCTTGCTGTCCTGTCTATCCCAGTCCCATCACTGATCACTCTATTGCAGGCTCCCTTGCTCTTGGTTCTTTTCCTAGAACCCTCACTATGCACTCTGTTGCTGGCACTCTTGCTATTCGCTCTTTCATCAGTGCCCCTGCTGGGACTCAGCATTATTGAGCCATGTCACAGCCATTAGCTATATCTCTCCTTCTGCTCTTGGACTACAGTATGTGACTAGAGAGGATCAGGAAACAGATTGGGCAGCAGAGTACAAATTCATGCCCTTTGACTTCAGTGAGGCCCTTATTGCCTGGTAATCTCTCTTGTACTAATTTTTTTCTCCCTGTAAAATTCCACATATATCCCTTTCCAGCTAAAACTCTCTGGGTTGCTGACACTGTATTATACATACACCGTATATATTTCATCATCTCAACTGTCCTTTTCTTTTTGTCCCAGTATGCTTTTCTTTCAGCATTCTCCGTTTCACTCTACCTTCTCTATGTAGTCCTCATGTATCACTAGCTCATTCAGCTTTTTTTTTTTTCCTAATCTTTTTTTTTTTTTTTTTTT